TGTGTCTCCATCATCATTTACCCCCCCTGGGTGGGGGGAAGAGGTTGGAGAGATTCCTTTCACTTCTCTTTGTCCTGCTGTGATTTGGTTGGTAATAAATTCACTCCCTGTGCCGAGGCTGGGTCTATTTTGCCAATGCCGGTGCTCTGGGCGGGATCACTCCCATTCCTGCTCTCAACACCCAGGCCTCTCCACAGCCAATCAGAGAATGTGATGAACAAGAGTCAGCCAATCAGAGAGAGCAGGTCTGATGACTCACCACTTGCTGGGCAGACCCTCAGCACCCAGTGTTCCCCACCTGGCCCACACCCTCCCTGCCCAGTCACACCCCAATCCTCCCTGCCCAATCACAGGAGGTCTCAGACAGGTGCAAGGCCATGGGAAGGGGCTGTGGCCGCCACCAGCTCAGGAGCTCTGTGGGCAGAGAAAAGGGGGTGACACCAGGACTGGGGACACTCACAGGGCTTCCCTTTGTTGTGCCTCCATTTGTGTTGGCTCAAGTGAGAGCTTCTGGAGAATCTCTTCCCACACACAGGACAGTCATTGGGGCTCTCCCCAGTGTGGATGTGCCTGTGGGTGACAAGGGTGGAGTTGTGCCTGAAGCCCTTCCTGCAGTCGGGGCAGCGGAAGGGCTTCTCCTCTGTGTATCTGCTGATGTACTAAAGCACGGACAGACAACTCTTCAACTAATAAAAGTTGAAAAGAAGGGTATTTTATTGCAGTTCTGGACACATGAGGAATAATTTCCAAATGCTGGTGCAAGGAGTTGCAGACTCCTGCTCTCTATTTATACAGAAAAGGCTTTACATATCCAAGCAGTTTCTAAGGAGGTGTAGTATATAATCATTACCTGCCCACTTTGTATTATAATCAGCTGAATACCTAATATGGCTGTGCACTTGCACTCCCTTAATTAGGTCAGTGGGATTTTGAAATAAGGGAGTGGGTGTATGGGAAGAAGAAAGCTCTCTTTCTCATGGTAAACTCTTCACCCATGGCCAGTTGGCAGGACTTTTTGATCTGCTGATCACAATCCAAGCCTCTCCTAACTGTTTGATTATTCTTAAGGCAAGATATTTCTATGGTCTCTGCTCCTTCACAATTGCTACATCTATCCCTGTCACTCCTAGCTTTACTTTCTAATATATTTGTTACTCTTTCACTAAGGTATGTGATTTTGCTAGCTAATTTAGCCTTCTTATCAAATTTTAAAATCTTAACTAAAATATGTAACCTTCTACTATCTCAATAATATTCCCAGCTGGCCCCTGGACTCATCCAGAGTTTTCAATTATCATAAATACATTTCCAGCTTACCCCTTGACTCATTACAATGAGATTGGACCTGCTCAGAAACCACTTCCTACACTCAGGACACTCATAGGGCCTCTCCCCAGTGTGGATCTTGCAGTGATTGATGAGGTTGGAGCTCCACCCAAAGCCCTTCCCACACTCCCCACATTTGTAGGGCCGTTTCCCCATGTGGATCACCTGCAGCCAGATCACATCTGAGCTCCAGAGCTCTGGCTGAAGCCCTTCCCACATTCCAAGCACTTGTGGGGTTTCTGCCAGCCATGAGTTGTCTCCACCACCTCTGAGTTCCAAATGGATCTCCAGCTGCCTTCTGGATACAGGGGGCATCTTTCCTCCTCACAGCTCCCAGGGCTGCGTTTGCAACTCCTCCTTATATGGGATCTCCTGGGCTTATCCTCCCCATTGGATTCCCATGACATGGAGCTGCTCAAAATGGCCTCTTCCATGAGGTTCTGCAGCAGGGATTTGCTGTCCCTGGTCTCTGTCTGCACCTCAGTGTCTGGGGTAAGAAAAGGAAAGGAAGGAATGAGGAAGAAAGAAGGACAGAATGAGAAAGGGAAGGAGCTATGGACAAGGACAGGATGGGATTTGCCTCTGTGCCAGAGGGAAGGGGAAGGAGATCCCTCCCAGTTCATCCCTGGCAGGACAGCATTGGTAGTGGGCATTGTCCTGCAGCCAGGGGAAATGTTGGGCTGAGACATGGAGCAGAGGAGAGTGGGAAAGGGGCAGCGACTTCCTTCTCACCTGCCTCAGTGTCCCATGCCATCTTCTTTTTCCTCGCAGCCTCCTCCATCTCCATCCAGACAAAGTTTGGGATTGACAAATCCTGGCTTGGGGGAAAACAATGGGTGAGACCCTTGGTCCTGCTTCCCAAGCCTAGCTCGAGAAGTAACCGCCCTGTTCACGGTTGGATGGGCCCAGACCCTGCTCATCTCCAGGTTTCCCCACCCCTCCAGGCTGCCGGGATCCCCCAGCTCCAGGACTGGCCTTTGCTGCTCTCCCCACTGATGTCAATCAGAGCCCCAAAATCAAGGTCCCCCCTCAACTGGTACCACCGCCCCAGCCAGTACAGACAGTTTGCCACAGGAACCCTCCACAATTCTCCACAGGGGCATCTGCATCTCACTTTTGGGGCATCTGCAAGATCCAAACATCCCCTCCCCTGCAACAAACCTTCCCAGAGATCCCCCGATGGATTTGGGGTGAGCTCCCCCTCCCCGCTCACCTGTGAGATCTGGGGGGTTGATGCTGCCAGGGCCAGGGGAGCTTCAGACTCAACGGGCAAGCAGGAAATCCGTAGGGTTCTGCTGCGGCTCCTCCTCTTCCTGTTCCTGCTCTTCCTGTTCCCATCCTCCACCTCCTCTCTCCCTCCTCTTCCTAATGCTCCTCCTCCCTGCCCACTCCAAGTCTTCCTTTCACACCTTTCTCTCTCCCATGGCTGCACGATTTGGGTGGAGGAAACCAGGGAACTTCCCATGAGCCCCCCAGGGATGGGTAGAGGGCTTGGGAACACACCCAGTGCAGATCCATTCCCCTCCAGAGCCCCAGGGAATCACTCCAGGGATCAAGCGATGGGGACACAATGGGATCCCCACTGAACCACCCTTTGTCTATCCATCCCCTCTCCCATCGTTCCCCCAACCCAAGAACCTCTCCCAGCTCAATCTTGGGATCCCATCCCTGTCACACTCTGAATCTTCTTATCCCCTGCACTCCTACCGCTTTTCCATCATGCCTTCAGCTCCACCTCTCGTCCCTGTGTTTGGTTTTGGGGGATACAGGCCCCTCCTGCTCAGTCTGGCGGGGTCAGATCCCCCCTTTCCCTCAATTCATGCAGCTCCTGGATGCTTTTTCCCGGGAGGAATCCCTGAGTTTTGGGACTTTTGGGGTGTCATTTAAGAGTGTAACATCTCTGTCTGGCTTTCCCCTCCCTGTTGTGGCCCCTCAGCTGCCCCTGACACCCTGAGGGTGCTGGGATTTCCCTCCTGGGGACAAGGACGTTCATCCCCTTCCAGGAGCCCAATGCCTGGCTGGGGCTCCAGGTCAGGGGGTCCTTGAGCAGCTGCCCCAGAACCTCCCCCAGGGTCACCCAGCAGAGCAAGAGCCACTTGGCCTGGGGTCCCCAAAGGCCGCAGCAAGCCCCAGGTCCCTCCCAGGAACCCTCAACTCCCTCAAACCCAGCATCCCCCACATGCCCTATAAGTTTCCCCCATGGCACTGGCCATGACCATGTCCCCACATGTCGCTGGCTATGTCCCACCATGTCCTCACCCATGCCTGTCTCCCCACCATGTTTCCATCCCTGTCATTGTTCCCCACATCTCCATCCATGCCCGTGTCCACACATGTCCCCATGAATGGCTATGGCCCCCTCCATGTCCATGTGTCCCTATGTCACTCTCCATGTTTGTGTCCCACCATATCTTTCTTGTACCATGACCACATCCATGTCTTAGTTCAATGTCTTCTTTTACCTCAAGATTAGGTATTTTAAAGGGATGAAGAGAAATTAAAAGAAAATCAAGACCATAACAAAAGGATTTCAGTGTCCATGCTGGCTGAGGATCCATGTGCTTGGGCAGAAGGCAAGAACCTTTTCTGGTGGAGTTTCTATCCCACTGTCTCCAAAATCTTGGTCTTTTCCCCAGTTTTTCACCATTTGGCTACGGAAGACACCCTTAGCTAATAGAAAATCAAAATCGTGGAATCCCTGAAGTTGGAAAAGACCTTGTCCTTTGGTTCAGGACAAATTTGGGAGAGAACCCCCAAAGGGGTTCTTCTAGATAGCAGATTCAATTGGCCCCTCCCCCAACTGGTTCAGGAAAAATAAAAGACCTCCTTGAAGAAAAGTGGAAAAAACTCTTTATTACACAATAAAACCTAAACAGTATTAAACAATAAAACCTCTTGCTGCTCTAAAAGAGAAACAAACTGACGAAGTCCCCTCCGTGGGCTGTAGCTTGGCTCACTCAGTCTCTTATCAGTCCCTCTGGTGCTGGAAATGCAATGTCCCAGGCCCGGCCTGGTGGGCCACAGGTGTGAGCTGCCGGTGCTCCCCTGGGTGTTCAGGCCAGAGCAGGTTTAAACAGGTCCAAAGAAAAGGGAAAAAACCCCACAGTCCAGGGAAATTCTTTGCCTCAGCTAGCTAAAACTAACTAAAAGCAAAGGAGAGCTCTGTCTCGCCGTTTGTCCAACCGCAGACAACACAGCACAGGAGCAGGAATGTGGAGGAGTGAGTGCCGAGTCTGAAAACAAACTGCACGCTGCTTCTCTCCTCCTTTCACTCTCAGGACAAGTCCTAAAGGTACAAAACTTATTATTCAGCATAAACAGAACAGACTGGGGATACAAGCATCATATAGTCCAGTCCACCCTGAACATACCTTCAACACCATTCAGTACTAGCTGATGTTACCAGAAGATAGGATTGAATGCAAAAGATTTTATGTGGGTGAAAGTCGAAATCTGCTGTCCCCAAGGAATTCTGTGTCCCAATGGATGTTCCTGCTGCTGCATTTATCTAGCTGCCCACAGGGAACCAGAAAGATGTGAAGTCTCCAAGCCAGGTGTCTTCCCAACACAGATCAGCAGGACCATGGATCACCAGGGCTCTGCCCAACAACGGTCACGGGGGGTCATCCAACATGGATCCTCTCATGGGGGATGGAGCTGGAGTAGTGCACACAAAGCTCTTCCCACACTTGGGGCACTCGCAGGGATTCCCTCAGTGGCGCCTCCGTTGGTGTTCTGTCAAGTGAGAGCTCTGTGAGAATCTCATCCCACACTCCCCACACTCGTAGGGCCTCTCCCCAGTGTGGATGCGCCGGTGGATGGTGAGTTTGCAGTTTTGCTTGAAGCCCTTCCCGCAGTCGGGGCAGCGGAAGGGCCTCTCCTCCGTGTGAATCCGCTCATGTTTGAGGAGATCGCAGCTCCTGTGAAACCTCTTCCCACACTCAGGACACTCATAGGGCCTCTCCCCAGTGTGGGTGCGCTGATGTTTTCTCAGGTCAGAGTTCCACCCATAGCTCTTCCCACATTCCAAGCAGCTGTAGGGCCGTTCCCCCGTGTGGATCACCTGGTGCCGAATCAGGGCCGAGCTTCCTCTGAAGCTCTTCCCACATTCCCCACACTCAAAGGGCTTCTCCCCAGTGTGGATCATGTGGTGCTGCACCAGGTAGCCCTTCTGCCTGAAGCTCATGCCACATTCCTCACACTCATAGGGCTTTTCCCCAGTGTGGATCACCTGGTGTCGTATCAGTTGGCCCCTCTGCCTGAAGCTCTTCCCACATTCCCCACACTCAAAGGGCTTCTCCCCAGTGTGGATCCTCTGGTGTTGGATCAGGACGGAGTTGTGGCTGAAACTCCTCCCACACTCCTCACACTCAAAGGGCCTCTCCCCAGTGTGGATCACCTGGTGCTGCCTCAGGGTGGAGCTCCAGCTGAAACACTTCCCACATTCCAAGCATCTGTGTGGCTTCTCCCTGACATGAAGCTTCTTCACTAGCTCTGAGCTCTGGCTGGATTGCAGGATGCATTCCTGGCTCACAGGGGCTCTTTCCTCCCCAGAGCTCCCTGGGCTGGGTTTGCTGCCCCTCTTCATGAGGTACATTTGGGGCTTTTCCTCGTCCTCCATCAGGCCATGCCCTGGGAATGAAAAATCCTGGTTTGGGGAAAAAATCAAGAGGAGAGCAGCTTGGACTGGAAAAACCTCCAAGTCCAACTTTATCTAGAAAAGTCATTGGGCAACTTGTGTCTGTAAGAACCTCCAAAACACCAAGATTCAGCACAGAAATCCTCTGAAGATCAAGATGCAAGTCTAAAATTTCCCAAACGTCAATATTCAGCAAAAACTCCCGCCAAAATAAAGAGATTCAGCCCTCACAAAAAAACAAAAGCACCAACATTTGCCCAATAGAGCTCAGAAACATCAAGATTCAGCCCTCATGAAAATCATGGATTCACCCTACCCCAGTCACCTGATGCATCTGGGGGCACAAAGCTCCTGGGGCTGGGGGGCAGGCTACAGATATAGGGAGGAGTAGAACCTTGCGGTGCCACCTCTTTCTGCTCCTCCTTCTCCTCTGTCCCTGCTCTTCCTCACACTCCTCTTCCTCCTACAACTCCTCCTTCTCCTGCACAATCCCACCTTTTCCTCCCACGTGCAGCATTTGACCAGTTCGTTCCTCAACCCGGCTTCTCCGTCCCTTCTCCTCCTGCCCCAGGCCCAGCTCCCACTGCTGGCTCCCTCTTCCCCCCAAACCCACAGCACCCCACGGCAGGGGCAGGGATGGAGCTGGGGCAGGTCGGGCTGGGGCAGCGTTGGGCTCTCGGCCGCTCCCGCCCGCACTCGGTCCCCACTGCAGCCGCTCCCGCTGGGACAGCGCGGGGGGGCCCGGCCTTGGCGCTGCCCCACTCCCACCTCCCCAAATTCCCCTCAAGGGGGGCACACATATGGGGAAAGCTGGGAGCTGCAGGTCTGCCCGGCAACTGCTGAGTCATCAGCTCCATGTGCTATGATTGGCTGAGCACTGCCTGAGGGGTGGAGCTGCAGCAAGGCGGGATACCCTGCTCCAGCGGGGATGTCCCACAAATGGGGGACCCCCATGAAAGGAAGAAGAGGAAAGTGTCTTTACAAACAGATGCTGTGAATCTGCTCAGAGATAGAGCCAGGAACTTGTACATAAGGAAGTAACAGGAGAAGCCACCAGTTTCTGAAAATGTTATTAATTGATGACACAGACTGCTGTTCAGGCAAGGTCCTGCTAAATTCATGAACTTCGAGAAGAACAAAGACTTCACAGAGCCATGATAACGGTTTGCTACATAAAAGTAGGGAGCATATCAAGGGGATATGTAGTAGGTGGATTGGGAAGTCTGTTCCTTTCAAGTACTCCACCCAATGGGGAAAGGAAGAGGGAGATGCAGCTGAGAAAATTAGGATGATCAAGAGGCTGTGTCCTCCAACAACTGGAGAGACTCCATAGGAAATGTCCCATGGACCCTGCCTTTTTTTAGGAATTAAATTATTTTTACAGGACTCGTCTGTCTGCTTTGTGGACAGAAACCTCTGGTGATGTCAATTTTTCCACACACCTTGGAACGCGTCCGGAATTCCTTCCACCATATGTAGCGGCGGGCAGTGAGTGCAGCTGAAGGTGCCTCACCCAGTTTGGGTGATCGGCTCCCTTGGGGGGCAGCAGCACCAGGGATTGATTGGGTACCTGAGAGTGACCAGGAGACAAACAAGTGACACATCAGGGGGGGCTGTGAAGAGTCAGCAGGGAGAGAGCACTGAAAATCTCATCAGTGAGTGCACTGGGATCTTTGGGGAGTGAACATGGCAGGGCACCCACGCAGGGTAGTAAAGAGAAAGCCAGGAAGGGGGTCCTGTGCCAAAGGGATGATGATCCCAAACTATCTCTGAAGGGTTCCTTCCGAGAAGGGTGAGGAAGATTGCACATTTCCCCACAGGTAATTAAGGACTTGGACACCCAGGGAGGCAATAAGGGAAGTGGAGAAGGGATTTAGACAATAGGGGATGGATGGTGTTGGTGTGCTGGGAAGAGACTGGGTGAAGAGGAGTGTGCAGTAATAAGGTTAAGGCAAGAAGCAGCAAGAGCAATCTACGTGGTAAGAAAAAGAAAAGAGGAGGAAGAGAAAAATACTGAGGATTGGGATGTTTTTCAGCAGGGTCTTATCCTCAACCTTTGCCAGCTGATCATTTGTATCCCCGGTTTCCAGGAGAGGAAAACAAGGAGGTCAGGGTTTCAGGGGGTTTCTCTGTGGGGGGCAGCGGCAGCACCGGGCGCAGAGCTGCGGCACCGGGAGCACGGGCTGGGGGCCTGTGGGCAGCTGCGGGGCCGGGCCGGGGCTGTGGGGCAGCCGGGGCTCAGCGCCGGGCGCTGCCTGACCCCACCAGCCCCGGGCAGGGCCGGCAGCGGCCCCCGGCCCCCAGGAGGCTGCGGGACACCCCGGCCGCTGCCTGGCCCCGCGGAGCTGCCGGCCCTGCCCGCCGGGGGCGCCTTTGGACACTGCGGCAGGACAGGGAGCGGCTCTGGGATACGGGCTGGGGAGGGCACCCTGAGCACAGGGAGGAGGAGCAAGGAACACATGGGAAAGGCGGATTATAAGGGAAGGATCAACATATTCTTTGGGTCGCTGGAAAAAAAATGATTCTGCAAAAAGCTCAGCAGCTGTCGAGGATGAGCACCCACAGGCACTGAGGGGGGCTGCAGCAGGGGCACAAGAAGGACCTGCAGCACTTGGGCACAAAGGCACAGCAGGTGAATGCAAGAAGGGAGCAGTAAAAGGCCAAGCTCAAGGCAAAGGCCAGGGCACAGTTCCTACAGCCCTGGAGGGATCAACCCCAGGGCCCAAGGGGGCCCCAGCACCCAGGGCATGGCTCGGCCACAAGCACCTGGCAGAGGCATTGCCCTCCTCGGCAGGGGAGAGCCCACCCAAACAGCCCCTGGCAAGGAACCAGGGCTCCAGCTGCAGGGCACAAGGACACTGCAAGCACAGACAGCAGCACCCTCAGGACCAGCAAGTCCACCCCTTGATGGACATGGATTGGCAGGGCTGTCACAGCTCCCATCACACCAGGGACCCTCCACACTGGAGCCCTTGAGAACATTCAGGGTGGGTCTGCATTGAGAGGAGGCATTTCCTGATGGACACAGGAGCCTCTCAATCCACTCTGAATCTTAGACCTAATGGGCAAAACAGTAAAGGCATGGTTTAATTATTAAGGGAATAAGTGAGAAAGATGAGCAGGTATGATTTAATCAACCACTATTAGGAGATCTAGGGGATACATCTCCTAATGTTTGAAATAAACACATTTTTTTTTCTTCCTACTGTGATTGCAATTTACTGGGAAGGAATTAGTGGCTGAATTTTGATATTGTAAAAGGTCATACAGAGGCTTATGCCGTTGTACTTTCTGTCAGATGTCTGGCAAGGCCTATGCTGAAGTGAACCCACAAATGTGGGAAGTCCCAGGGAAAGAGGGAAAATTAGGTATGGAGCCTCACCAAATTACTGTGAAGCAACAAGGACAAGAGGTTGCTTGTATTGATTTAAAATCAATACCCTATTCCAAGAGAGGGAAGGAAGGGCTTACCGCTTATCACTCACTCCCTGTTAAAGGCAGGGTTTTGGAGCCAGGGATCTCTCCCTAGAATACTCCAGTCAACAAACTGGATGGATGGACACAAGGAGGAATCACAGAATTTTCAAGTGTTAAAAAGGAGATTAACTGAGGCTCCTGCCTATTGGAATAAGAATCCCAATATTACCAGGTAGATTGTGCCTGGGCCAGTGTGACCCTTGCTGCTGGGCCAAAGGCACCAACTGTGGTGTATCACCCCAGTGACACCTTTAGCTTGCTGGAGATTGCAGCTAGGCAGTGAAGAAGTCCAGGCTTGTTAGGAACTCCGTTTACCTCAGGGGAGGAGGCTTCAGGCGATGGTGAAGAGAAAGGAGACGGATTCTGCCAGAGGGTTATATCCAGAGTTTTATTCCATGGTCACAGAGGTCCATTGGCAACAACTCCAACAGAATCCCGACCACATGGCTTGGTTCGGCTTTTAAGCTCAGGGACAGGGGAAGGGGAGGGACAGGTGAGCCACCAACCAGGTGGGAGGGGCAGGGTCTCAAGGGACGAGGGACATCTAGACAGGGCAATGACCGCCAGGCCTGAGGGGCATCCTTTGAAAGTGACAAACCACAGGACACCTTGCAGGAATGTTAAAACTGATTGACAGCCCAGCAGGGGGCGAGGGGGGAAGGGGAAGAGGGGTATTGGCACACCTGGGGAAGGGACCTGGAAGTTTAAGACAGGTTATTAAGACACACCGCAACACCTGCCCTGGCCCTCCTAGACGGGGAGAAAGAATTTGAATTATAGGTGGATTTTAAACAGGGCCAGGGCAAAGGAATTCTTGTGTTAAAATGTTTAACCCAGTGGCCAGAGTGGCCTCAATGTCTGCAGAATTGTGCAGCCACAGCTTTCGTGGGAAATGAGGCCCGAAAACTGATGACAACAGGAGGATCTCCTATAGTTCAAGTCTGGCACCAAGGTAAAGCTTTGACAACCAAAAGAGCCTCTAAATGGATGTGCAGGGCTCGGTTATTGCAGTATGAAACTTGTTCAACAGCACAGGAGGATTTAGAACTGAGGACAGGGCAAGGGTTTAACCCAGCCTCCTGTTTGAACAGCCTGGAGAGGGGCTGGCAAGGAACCCAGGACTGCACTCAAGGGACAGAGCTCCAGACCCAGGCTGGGAGAGATTGATGGGACATTGCCTGGCCTGGAGGAGAAAATGTGTTTGTGGATGGCTCTGCAAGGGCAGCAGAAGGGAAAAGAGCTACAAGACAGGCTGTTATTAAGGAAGGGGAATCAGACACAGCGCAGGTCACCGCCCCATGCTCAGCTCAACCCGCGGAGCTGTGGGTGCCTGTGAGA